CTGGACTCTCCCCAGTCTCCAGCCCATTGGGCAGGCTGTAAAGAGACTTTTCAAGACTCCGTTCGTAGGGTGACTGTGATCAACAATTGCATTGTTGTGTTACGTTCTCAATGGTGGTAGTTTTCTGGGAGGTGGAAGTCTCGATAGTATATCGTCAGATTCAACTGTTCCAACAGGCCCGGCAGTCTCAGCAGTATCTTCTTCTGACTCATCGTTTTCCTGCGAAACAGGAGACTCGACTTTCCTTCTGTGCCGTTTCTTTCTTCTTTTACGTTCTTTGGTTGTTTGTCTTTCTTCATTGCTGTCGCTCTCAAAACCTTGGCTCCTTTGATCTATATGTTTAGGAGACGGAAGCTTGGACGATATATTATCTAATTGAGCTGCTTCTTCTGCAACAACGTCTTTTTCAGATCCAGTTTCATCTTGTGAATGTCTCTTTTCGCTGCGTTTCTTCTTGCTCCTCCGTTCCTTTGTTGTCGGCCTTTCCTGGTCGCTTCCATCTCCATTTGTGATATTTTGATTGTGTACATCGAGTTCGTCGGTTTTTTTAACGTGACCATTGTTGGATTTATCTATGTTATCCTCTTTATGGCTTTTGCGCTTCTTCTTTCTCCTGCGAGGAGACTGCGCCTCTGTTTCGGAATCGCTTTGTTTTGATTTTGAGTGATTTTTTGTTTCGTCTTCGTGATGAATTTGAGTAGATAGATCGTCTCTTCTTTGTGGTTTTACAGCTGCATGAGGGATTCCAGTAGTTGTGACAAGGAACGGACTTTGTGAACTTGGATTTGCAGGTCTTCCTTGAGAGGAATATTGGCGTCGTTCGGCCGCTTTGATTTCGGCCATCTTACGTTTACTGTAAATAATGATTCAGTTAAAAATGATGCATCAGCTAAATGAAACCATAGCCCTGGAAACCCCGTTGACTACCGGGGAAAGTATCATTTCAACATGCTGGGTATAAATCCCTTCATTTTCCGTCTTTTAGAGACAGCAATTGGCGGCTAAACAGATTATTTGATTGGATTTTGACGTTAATTCTCYCGTCATTTCCTATTGGCTTTGTATAGAATTGCTGCTCGCCAACTTCAAAATATAGGGAGACCGACCGATATTCGATAACTGAGAGAATTTTAC